ATATCATACGAACCTTGATCTTGTTTGGCGATAGGTGGTGTTTCTATTTGTTTATTTTTACGCCCGCAATTGTTGAAAAAGCAAATGATAGCTAACAGGGAAATGATTCCGAAAATAGTCTCAAGTAAGATTACGTCCATGGTGACAATAGTAAAAGTGGGCTTTGAAGTATGACTTTAAAATGTATTTATTGCAGCTTTTAGCCGGTACATAAAGTGCTCAGAATACAACGTTATTCGAAAACAAAATTCTAAAACTTGGTTACGATCTATAATAAATAAACTTTTCCATAAACTTGGCCATGTTCAAAAAGCAATCGTACTCAACGTCAATTTTGGCCAAACTATGAACGTCATCGTAGATTAAGCAGCGCGTTTCCACTCCACGGGCTTTTAGAATTCGGTGGTAAAGGAGGCCCTGAGAGTACGGCACGCGAAGGTCCTCCTTGCCAAGTAGCAACAGAGTAGGCACTTTAACCTTTTGAACGTGTGCAATCGGCGAAACCTGGTACATGTTGGCCATCTCTTCAGGCGTGCGGCCGTACATCTGTGCCAGTGGCTTCAAGTTGCAGTCACCATCCGCTTCGCACACTGTCCAGTCGGGAATATCACTGATGGCAGACATTGAAGCAACATCAATCACCGGGTTGCGAGCAATACATGCCAAAAAGTCAAGTTCGGGATGCTGGCCGGAGATGCTGGTCACCAAGAAGCCTCCGTGGGAGCCGCCACTGAGGATCAACTTTTCCTTGTCGACGTTCTTATTAGCAATCACATACTGAATAGAGTCGTATATGTCATCCACATCGTTCGTGCCTACTTTTCCTAAAAGGGCGTTTACATAATCTTCATCAACGCCTGTTGAACCGACATAGTTGATCAGGCATACTTTCAAGCCCAGCTCGGCGTAGAGGGCAACTGACTGGTAATAACCGGCCGATAGCTGGGCATGGGGCCCTCCATGACCCGTAACGACACAACTCCCCTCACGGCTATCCCTCAAATCAGTTGGACTAATAAAAATGCCAGTGACCAGCTTGTCTTGGTAGTCTCGAGCAGGAAAAGCAAACGTCTCATAGGTAATATTTGGAAGCTTTTTAGAAGCTGGGTCTTCAATGGGCAACCAAGTGAGGTTCGTCAAATCGGTAGAATTGGCAATGTTAGACAAATATAAATTGGGAGTGCTGTTGATTGATGAGCCAAGGGCAATGACCCAGTCATTTTTCACCTCTAATATTTGGCAGAATCCCTCGGGAAATTTGATCAGTTTCAATTGCTTTTCTTTCAAATCGACTGCGTAAGGTTTAGTGAAAACGGGTGTTTCAGAATCTAGCAACACATATTTGCCATCCATTGTGAAGCAGTTGGTTGCCATTTTGTCTAGAAACAGTGGTCCATAGTCTGAGTATTCGGTTTTGTTGTTGATCAATTCACGTTTTTGCTTATTGTCAAGAATGGTTTGAATTTTACGCGATTCAAAGCAAAACTGCTGCAAACGAGCGGACTTGTTGTGAGCACCGCCAGCATCGCGTTCTAAAAAGATTGCTTTGCAGTCATAACCGTTCACTGGGTCAAAATAAACTCGTGGGCTAGAAAGAAACAAGTTTCCTGAACTTCCATACAAAACTTCCGGCTCAATTGGTCCATCAGGAAGATCAGAAGAAATGCTACTGCCGAGCAGAAAGCTAGTACGATTGTTGCAGTAAATTAATCCCAATTTGTAGGGAAGCTCTTGAAGTCCAATACAGCCCACAGAGATGTGAGCTTTTTCGGCAGATTTAAAAAAGAAAGGCTCAATCAAAGACAATCCCGTTTTTTCAATTAGCGTTAGTTTTTCAGTTTTCAAATCAATCAAAGCAATTGAACTGTGAAATATGGTGCTCAACTTTTCGCCCCAAGATTGTTTGTACTCATGAGAGTCAAGATCGTAATCTTTGGAGCCAGGAGAATCCTTTTTGCCTTTAGATTTTGCCTTTTCTACTTCAACCACAGCTAAAAGCTGCAAGTCATTGTCAAGTACAAAGTTTGAGTAAGTAGCACTCTCAATTATGGTCAGCTGATCATTAAGCGACTTGACATCAATCGTCTTTAGAGCTTTCTTCTTGTCGTACACGACAATAAACTGTTCTGGCTTTCCACTTTTGGGATCAGTTTTTGACTTTAAAACGACCTGCTTATCACCATCTTGACTGAATGCTTGCAATGTAATACTAGAAGAAAAAACAGTTAAAAAGGGGATGCAAATCAAAATTCATACTCGCTGGACAGCTCTTCTGGTAAACCAATATCCAGAAACTTGAAATCACTAGTGCACAGATAGGTCTTTTGAAAAGCCACAGTTTTAATTTGAACAGTGTCACGATACTGCCAGTTGGTTTTGATTAATTTTGGCACAAATTGCTTGCCATCAGCAGACTTGTCAGTCAGTAAATACGCCCTTGTCGGCGTTGGCTTTGAGCTGAACTTGGTGAAAAGAGCTTTGAGTTTATCCACCTGAAAAAGAAGATCAGTTAAATGGCGACATTGACATTAAAGATACACTTGCCTGAAATCGTCCTCGATACTTTTCCATTTTGAACTAGTTTTCAAAACTGATCAAGTTTGATGTCAAATCAATAATAAGGTAGATCAAACTTTGGCATTCAACAATTTTAAAGACTCAAAACAAAAATTTGAGTGGAATGGAGGGGCAAGCACGCCTTGATGCTCAGAAGCATGCGCAGAAACATAAAAAGAGTCTGCTTGTCATTTGAAAGGACTGATTTTGGCTTTTGGTTTGAGAAAGCCTTATCACGATTGCTGCTAAGCTTATCATTTGTTTAGGCTTAAAGTTGCATCGGTTTGAAAAAAAAATCATTATAGCAAAAAAATGAAAAAGTACTTGTGTTGTTCAGTAAATCTTTATTCAGTAAATCTGCTGACACACTACTTTAAATGTTTGAAAAAATTAACAACTTGCAAGCTTAGCGTGGCGGCGGAGAAATTTACAAGCAAGAAGTAGTCCAGACTGACTTTTTATGGTAAAGGGAGCAGCTTATAAAGCATTTACAAAGGTTTCGACCTTTGCGTGAGCAAAGCCACGTCACCAGTGGCCTGGCGGCTGCTACTTCATTCAATTGCTAACAAAAATGCAGATTGCTGCTGCAACTTAGAGAATCGAGTTTCCTCCATCGACGACGACATTGGAGCCAGTGATAAAGGCGCTCTTGTCAGAAGCGAGAAACAGGACAGCATTGGCCACGTCCTCAACTGTAAAGGAGAATTGAAAGATAAAAAGATACTGATTAAGCGAATCCGGTACAAACCTGTAGTAATTCTTCGCAAGGGGATCGTCTCCTCGAGATGCTTCAGCACTCCGGCCAGTGTGTCGCCGGCTCCACTGGCAGCCTGGAAGTTGGTTCGAATAGCAGTTGGGCTATAAATTGAAAAGGAAATAGTCAGTTTAAAAGTACATTGAGAGAATGGTCAAAACAACATGCTTTACCTAACACAGTTCACTCTGAAAAGCAATAATTGTAGCATTTTAGTCAAAGGTTTGCAACTTTATCTAGAGTCGGTTCACTTACCGCACGCCTTTCGGTCCCAGCTCAAGTGCAATGCACTGCGAGAACATGTCAACGGCCGACTGCAAAACAAATTGAAACATTTTAAATGTATTTTTTAAAGTTTCAGATTAGACAAATTACCTTGGCCACACAGTACGGCATAAAATGTTGATTCTGAATAAATGGCAATTATTAAGAAATTGGCAACAAAAAGGGAGCATTCAATTACCGGGCGCTGGCCAAGAATCGAAGAAATGTTCACGATGACTCCATTCACTTTCTCAAGGTGAGGTACGGCCAGCTGGGTGAGGGCTACAACTGACTTCAGATCGAGATTGAGCATATGGTCCAGGGTCTCGACCAGCTTAGGATCATAAATCGAACTGAATGCACCACCTTGACAAGCAGGATTAATCTAATTGTCACTAATATTCAAGCAGTTCATTTTAGCCTACCTCCAGCATTGTTGACCAGGACGTCCAGGTGGCCAAACTTTCCAATGATGGCATCCACAAGGCCTTTAAGACTATCCGATTTGGTCACATCGGCCACAAAGGGAAAGGCCTCGGCACCGCTGGGCGAAAGTGAAGTGCACTCGGCAGCGATCTTATTCACGGCTTCGGAGTTGCGTCCGGTGACAACAACATTGGCGTTTCGCTTGGCAAACTCTTTGGCCTAAAAATTTTGAGTCAAGATGTGAAAACTAGAGAAATATAAGCCGTTGGATATTGCAAAGTACCATAAAGGAGCCCAAACCCCCAGACGAGCCAGTGATCAGCACCACCTTGTTGATAAAGTTAAATTCGGTTGCCATCTAAATTAGAGTTTGTCAGTGGGTGACAACAAATTCAGACGTTTGAATTAGCACTAGTTAATGTTGATAACTAAATTCCAAATTACCGTGATTGAGGTAGATTGACCAAACAAGCGGATCGGAAATTTAAAGTCAAAGATGAGAGGGAGAGAGTGAAAGTGAAAGTGAGGCTCAACTTGACAGTCACTCAAGCGCAGCCGGTGGAAGCTGTAGATTTCGAATGAGGCGAAGCAGGGGAAAGGTAGCTGCAGCCTGGTTGCACCACCACCAGCACTACCATTCACCACAAAACGAACGGGCGGCGAGCGCGCGCCTCTGGTACGACAGTGGCTGCCGTTAGCACTAATCACAGTGCAGCGGAGGACAACTGCACCATCACTTTTCACTACGTCTACACTCTTCTTCGTCGCTTCTTCTGGTTCATGGTTGTGCCTTTCAACACCGACTGAATACTTGTCGCACTTGTCTGATCAATACCACTGTACTGACTGACTGAGGATGGTGCACTGGTGCACTGCCAGCACGACAGCTGCCACCGAACTGCGCCTTCCTGCTAAATCTCCGTTATCTTCATACTGCATTCGCTACACGCAAAAATGTATTTAAAGAAAAAAGAAAGTTTTATTACCAAAAAGTCGTCCAAGACAGCTATCTTTGTTATTTTTATTAAATTACTGCTGCCTACTGGCTTCACTTCAAGTCTTCACTCCAATCTCAGTGTTGTGGCAAAACAAGCGGCCAGAGTAGCTGGAATGCTTTGTACCTTTTTTCCTCTGAATTATTGAATGTCATCCGGCCGATGTTGTTGCTGGTGGTACTGCTAGTCTAGACTTTTCTGCCGTGTTCAATCAATCTATTCAAACATACGAGTACACTCTCTGCTGTGTTGTAACAATCTTCGAGTAGAAAATGCTCTTTCACAGGATAGGAGGGGAGAACACCGACCAGTTGACAGATAGTGGGCGAGAGCGTGAGTCTGTGTCTGTGTGCCAGCCAGCAAGTAGCTAGCCTATTGCTCAAAACGCAGAGACCTTGGCGGAAACAGGTTTGCACTTTTAATTATCATTAGGTTGCAGCTATGGCAATGCATTGATCACTAAACGCTATGCAAAAGGTGTCTCAAGGTTAAGTTGGACATAACAGCCGTAGTTAGCACCTGCCTTTTTTTGGGGAAAAACAATANTCCGCTTCTAGCTTCGGTTCTTTCTCTCCCTTTTTGAAAGTGCAACTCTTTTAAGGGGAGCCATTTTTGAGGGAAAGTGGGCTTCCCTGCGCAATGCATTTGTACAGCAAAAAGATCATTTTTTCGGTACACTTTTCTCAACAACCACACATTGGATTAGGATGCTGTAAAAAACAAAATTAAGGCAAGAATGTAATCTTTTTTTGTATCAGAAAAAATTTGGGTTTTAATATTGAATTGTATTATTATTTGCGTTGTAAAGCGTGTTGTTTTTTAAATCTTTATAACTGTTTAAATAATATTGTTAAACTTAAATTTTTTCTGATACAAAAAAAAGATTACATTCTTGTCTTAATTTTGTTTTTTACAACATCCTAATCCGATGTGTGGTTGCTGAGAAAAGTGTACCGAAAAAATGACCTTTTTGCTATACAAATGCATTGCGCAGGGAAGCCCACTTTCCCTCAAAAATGGCTCTCCTTAATTATCATTAGGTTGCAGCTATGGCAATGCATTGATCACTAAACGCTATGCAAAAGGTGTCTCAAGGTTAAGTTGGACATAACAGCCGTAGTTAGCACCTGCCTTTTTTTGGGGAAAAACAATAACAAAATTGTGTTGCAAAAAAAATTTGCTCATTTCTAAGTAATGAAATGTAATTATCAAAGTACATTTGATTTTTTTAAACTTGTCAACTCTTCAAAAGAGTTATTTTTTCTTTAAGTAAAATTATAAAACATTTAAATGTTACGTCAAATAAAACACAACTAGTAGCCATCAATCAATTATTTCAAATAACTGAAATTTCGTAATAATTTAGTGCTGTCTATCAAATTCAAGCTGAACCGTTAGTATTCAATTTACAAAAACTTATTGTTATCGACAAGGCAACCATTGTTTTGAACATAAAAATCGATTCGTTTGTGAGCCATGGCAGCAGCGAGGAGAACGACGACCAGCATAAATGATAATGAGTTTTTACACTTTTTTAACAAACCTAACAACATAATTTTTCACGATAAACAGAAATAAACTATAAATACCCAATTGCTTTATTAATATGACTTGGTTTCAAACCTAAAAAACATACACGTACAATCTTTAGCAAAAGTAATTGCAAACACTCTGTGAAGTGATAAAGAAAAAGTATTCTGTGCAATGTAAGAGTGTAGAAGTGACTGCTTTTAGTGTAGCTGAGTTCAATCGATAACAAGTGCAACAGAGAATGGTAAATACTGTGTGTTCGGTTTAACAACTGTTCCAAGAAAACAATAGGTGGCCATCGTTTTACTGACTGCCTGAAAGCTAACTGCCAACTTACGACTTTGCAATTCGTCGTTAAAATTGGCAACGTTGACAATTTGAAACAAGTTGATAAGTCAAACGAAGAACAAGTGAAGAAAGTAAAAGTTGACGGTCAACTTCAAGTTGCTGTGCCATCATCTAGTTAAGATAACCATGTAAAGCTGTTACTGGGAAATTGCAATACTTTCAAGCAACACTGAAGCACTAGCTCAACTTGACTGCTTTCAATAACTTTGACACAAGGACTGTGTACACAAAAGGTATGAGCGCCGATTGAAGGTGCAGATAGGTGGTCACCCCTGGCCATCCTAAAGCAAGTAAGCACACTTACAGTTTATCTAACCAAAGATCAAAACCAAACAGACTGCCGACAATTAGTAAAAAAAATGCCCGGTGTCAAATCGTTTTGCTCATTCATCTCCTGCCACGAGCGCTCAGCGGTTGAAGTGATTCAGTCCACTGTAGCTCAGCCGGCCAACAGCAAAGGTCCCACAGTGCCCATTTACCCAGCTATTCAAATAACCTCTGCAAGCAGTCTAACTGACATGTCTTCTCCTAAAGATTTCAACGGAAAGGTGGTTCTAGGTATGTGCAGTGATGATTCATTGTAATGACAATTGTTTGACACTACTAAATTTGCAAAAAGTAACCGGAAGTTCAGGAGGAATTGGAGCCGCCACTGTCAAAGTGAGTAGTGTTTTTGTAACCAAACATTTTTCACCATTTTGTGTTTCTACTAGTATTTTGCATCATGTGGTGCTCAAGTCGTTGTCAATGGAAGAAACCAGGATAACATTTCACGCACTGCAGCCGAGTGCAACAGTTTGTCACCAAACAGTAAGCAACTTTCCTTCGTTTTGCCTAATTAGGATGACAAATGTGCATTAATTTATTATTTTTCTAAACCACGCAGAATACAAGGCACTGCAAATTCAAGCAGACGTCACCAAGGACGAAGACTGCCGCCGCATTGTGGAAAGCACCGTCAATCACTTTGGAAAACTAGACATTCTAGGTACATTTTAGGACATTCAAAAAGATGAACATTATATCAATAAAACTCTAATAATCGTTTAAAACAGTAAACAACGCTGGAGGAGGTGCATTTGGCAGTATCTACGACCCCAAACTGATGAGCACACTGGAGCACATGATCAAGCTTGATCTGCGATCAGTTGTATTGATCACACAGTTGGCAGTGCCGCATTTGGAAAAGACCAAGGGAAATATTGTGATGATATCGTCAACACTTTCCACTAAACCAGTGAGTATCTGAAAAATCTTTTCATTTTCTCAATTTACTCATTTTTAAAACAGAATGCCCACTTTATGCCGTACTGCATAGCTAAAGCAGCTGGTAAGTAAATTGAAATTGTATCACTTGAGTCGGGTTTACTAACAAACACATTTCTAGTCGATTCATTTGCTCGCTGCATAGCCCTTGAACTTGGCCCCAAAGGCATTAGGTAACTAAATTGTTTGAAAAACTTGTTCCTACTTAAACACTAAAATGGTTTATTGCATACTCTAGAGTAAACACCGTCAAGTAAGTTTTAAATAACTGTCAGAAATTAAAAGTTAGTTTAAAATTGTTTGTTTCCCAACAGTCCAACTGCAGTGCGAACAAACTTCCAGGCTGCCACTGGTGCTGGTGAAATACTAGATGGTGTGCTGAAGCACCTCGAACAAACTAACCCACTGGGACGCATTGGAACGACAGAGGACGTGGTCAACGCCATTGGGTATCTCGCCTCACCAGAAGCGTCCTTTGTCACTGGCGCCAGTCTGCTCGTCGATGGAGCCAGCGTTCATGTGTAGCGGTTTTAATCACATTTTAAAATAGTATTTGTCGTTGCAACATAACAGTAATAAAGCAAAGTATTTTTGCGGAAGCAAAAGAGTTAACACAAATTCAGTAAAGTATTCTTATCATATAAATGGTGAACTCTTCCTGACATGGAAACATCCTCTTCCTTGCTTATAAAAATTGGTATATAAAGAGTTCAATAAAAGTTTTTTAGTTTAAGGTGATATTTTCACAAGTTTTTATAACAATGAACTTCTGCAAACTCTTTTTGGCTTCTGCCCTGTGCCTCTTGGTTTTGGCACTTTTCACTAAGGTAAACTAACAGAAGGCTGCTTAAACTTAAACTAATTTAATGCTTTTTCCAAGGTGGCAGTCGCACAAGAGGAAAACGAAAATGAAGAAGTAAAAGCGGCTGTGGAACCGGACGAAAACAACTCCAGTGAGGAACAGCCTCTCTATCGAGCAGTGCGGGCCACTCGAGACAGTGGACGAGGAATTGGAAACTGTCGAACTAACCGGGACTGCCGACGCGGACATGAGTGTCGCTACGTTGGACGTTCTCTTATTAGACGTTGTCAATCACGATTTTAATTTGTTGAAAGGCACTATTTTTTAAACCAATGAAAAATCAGTGCACTTTTGCTATGATAACCCTGGCATTTGATAAAAAATAAAACTTGTGCAATGAGGGCGCATTTCGAAAAAAGTCTCAATGCGGGCTTGATTTATAAAAAATCTAAATTGTAGCCACTGGGTCTTTTAAAACAAGCCTGCAGGCACCGCTGCCTGACTCGGTGTTGGCTGAAATTGACAGCTAGCACAAAAGGTTTACCGTTTGCTAGAAAAAAAATGGAGTCAACACTAGCTCCGCTGCCGCCACTGCCCAACTTAAGTGCCCAACTACTAGCCGTCTCCATTATCATTCTGCAGCGAACCATTCGCCACAACAGCATCACCACCACTAGACCGATTAACCAGAACTACGACTTTATCGTCGTCGGCTCAGGCACGTCAGGCTCAATTGTCGCCGGAAGATTGACTGAAAATCCGAACGTCACAGTGCTGGTGCTTGAAGCGGGTGGCCCTCAGCTGATCACCTCTGATGCTCCCAGCCATGCCCGACAGCAGGTTGGCTCTGAAATAGACTGGGGCTACCGAACCACTTCACAGTATCCCAATGCAGGCAATGCTTTGAATGGCGCCCAGGTGGTCATTCCGCGCGGCAGAATCGTCGGCGGCTCACACAACATGAACTTTATGGTGTACAGTCGTGGCAATCGTCGCGATTTTGACAACTGGGCAAACAACTACGGCGCCACTGGTTTCTCCTACAATGAAGTGCTGCCGTACTTTTTGCGTTCAGAGAACAACACTGACGCAAACATTGTGAACGCCAATCCGGCCTATCATTCTACCCAGGGACCAGTGGTCGTGCGGACACCCAAAAACCCCGACCCAGTGATAACCATGCTCAAGCAGGTGGTGGAAAGCTGGGGTTATCCAGAAGCTGACCAAAATGGTCCAATGCAACTGGGCATCAATTTTTTTCAGCAAACCATCTTCCTCAATGCGACTCGATCAACTACAGCCAGTGCCTTCCTGGAGGCTAACAATGGCCGACCTAACTTGCAGGTACTCACACGAGCACTAGTCCGTCGAGTACTCTTCAACAGTACACGGGACGCTGACGGCAACCTGACGGCAATTGGAGTTGAGTACGAGTACAATCAAACGGTTTACCAGGTGTACGCCAATCGGGAAGTCATTCTTAGCGGGGGTAAGACTGCTTAGTTTTGTTTACAACAATTTAACCATCTTTGAAATATTGGCAGGATCAATAAACACTCCTCAAATTTTAATTCTGTCCGGCATTGGCCCTCGAGACCATTTAAACCAGTTGGGCATACAGACACAAGTCGACTTGCCAGTGGGCTACAATCTGAAAGATCACGTCTACGTGCAGTACGATTTTGAAGTGCTCGATATGAACCTGATCACTTCTGGAATCGACTGGACACTGGAGAACATGTACCGGTATTTTGTCAACTCCGCCGGACCACTGTCGCAGTTTCCACTGGTGTTCATGTACCTCAACACACCCTACAACAACGAAACCGACTGGCCAGACATTCAAATTGACTTCAACGTTGACCCAGTGGGAAATGATCTGGAGTCGCTGGTGGCCGGATATCGACCTGAGGAGAGGGAAGGCTGGCGCAATTACTACCGCGATCACGTCGGCCAGCGCAATCGAATGGGCATTCTCTGCTTTCACTACCGCCCCCACTCAGAAGGCAGACTGACGCTCAACTCGACCGATCCGCACGACGCCCCACTGCTGAACACTCGGTACCTCACCGACCCGTACGACATTGCCTCCATGGTCGAGGTGACCAGAAGGGCGTTGCAAATGGCCCACCAGCCACCCTTCACCCGACTGCTCCGCCTCTACCAGCAGCCCATTCCCGGGTGCACACTCTGCTCCAGTGGACCCATCTGGCAGTGTGACTCCTATCTGGAGTGCTACGCTAGGGCGGTCACTTCGACTGTGGGACACCAAGTAGGAACTTGCAAAATGGGCAACGGCACCGACTCAGTGGTCGACCCGAGAATGCGCGTTCGAAGGGTGAACAGACTGCGAGTGGTTGATGGCTCCATTTACCCGACCATCACCAATGGCAACACTAATGTGAGTAGTGATGTGAAAACATTTTTAAAATTTTCAATGAATTTGCGTTTTTCCCTTCTTTCCTCCTTTTGCAGGTTCCCTGCATGATGTTCGGTGAATACGGTGCCAGCATGATTCAGCAGGACAATGGTCTGTAGCTGACGTACGCTAGCCACATCACGTCAATACTTCAGCAGCTACACACCACTAGCCTCTACGTGATAACGTTGTAACAATAAAAGCATACAAGTGCCGAACCATCTGCACTTTTTTGCAACTATTTTTTACCACCCTCTAAACTGACATAAACCTCCATGCACCGGTGCCCATTTGCTCACGACTGACGTCAGTAGATAAAGAAAAAAGATAATCAAGAGTATCTGGTCGATTCGTAGAAAATGTACAATGTGATACATGGTAATTGCGTTACTACTACTACTACTACTACTACTACTCCGCCACTGTTTGCCCGGACTGCATGGTCGGGTGTTCTAAGGTGCCTCAGCAGCACTAGTCATCAGATTATTTCTTGAGCTGTTCGACTGAAGTCGACGTCCTTTTCTGAAAAAAAGGAAAATATTTGTACCGCATTATGAGGTCAAAAAAAGAGGCTGCAAAACAAGAAAAAGAAGAGAAGAAGAAGAAACGGTGATTGGCGTAAAAAGGCGTTAACGTAATTCAAGGGTTTAAAACGGAAGTTGGGTGGCATTCTACAAGGTTACCTAAGTGTAGCAGGCCGCCAGTCCGTGGTACCTTCAGCAAAGTGCGTGGTTAGGATTTAGAGGTAGATTTAAAGGTAGATCGAACAGAGGATCGAGGAAATTTATATATTGTTGCAAACAAGGTAGCCAGTAAAACACATCCTTTGGTGGTAGTGATTTATGTCTGTATGTGTGCTAGTACTATTGATGTCCATTTATAGTGTCTAACCAAGTATCTAGTTGCAAAGTTTATATTCTAGTTTTTTCACTTATTTGAGGTGTATGTGCGCTCAAAGTGTGTGGTGTTCTTCAATTCCCTTCCTTTCCTCCCCTTTCATCAGCAGCCTCCTGTGAATGACACAGTCTACTTAAAACGTGCTGTGAAGTAGTTCAGGTTTTCTCTTCCTCTTCCTCTTCAGTTCTGCGGCAACACACATAACACCATCGGCAGCTAGGGATTCAGCGTTCATACCTGCACTGGGCACTGTTCAGTTAACACCTCGAGCACCTCTAGCAACGACGACGACCATCACCACCACGACCACCATCGCCGCCAATCATGGAAAACCGACGAATGTCGCGGAACGTCTTTCCTCTGAGCATCATCAAGGATGACATTGTAATCAGTGGCATCGGCGGCAGGTACCCGGAGTCCGATTCACTGGATGAGTTTCGAGACAACCTCTTCAACAATGTCGACATGATCACCGGTGATGATCGACGATGGCCAACACGTAAGTTGAAGTTACTGAAACAAGCATTTGTTTATCAATCTGCATCTGTTAATCTGCACAGCTGTCTACGGCATGAGTCCTCGAATGGGCAAACTGAAGGAAGTGGACAAGTTCGACGCCTCCTTCTTCGGCGTCGTTCCAAAGGTGGCCGATGAGGTTGACCCCCACGGGCGGATACTGCTGGAAACCACCTGGGAGGCGATCGTCGATGCGGGCATCAATCCCCAGTCACTGCGTGGCAGCAACACTGGCGTCTACGTGGGCTACACCTCGGTGGCAATGCCCGACGGTGTGCCGCATGAGGTGCAGCGAGACGTGCAGGCGTCCAAGGTCGAATCACTGCTGTGGTTCCAGGGAGGCTCAAAAGCCTTCTACTCGAACCGAGTATCCTTTGTCTTTGACTTCCACGGTCCTTCCATGTCCATCGACGTCGCCTGTGCCTCCTCGATGGTCTGCCTGGACATTGCCGTCACTGACATGCGTCTGGGCAAGTGCGACCAGGCCATTGTCGCCGGTGTGAGCATCAACTTGAACCCCTTCACCAATCACATCTACCAGGCAAACAGCATCGGCGCCCCTGATGGTCGCTCAAAAGTCTGGGACCAGAATGCCAACGGTTACGTCCGCGGTGAAACAGTGGCCAGCATCTTTCTGCAGAAGAAGCCCGACTCGAAGCGCATCTACGCGACGGTGCTGCACGCCAAGACGAACATTGACGGCTACAAAATCTCTGGCATGTTCTTTCCATCAACTGACAGGTAAGAGCATTGTTTGTTTACATTTTGTTTACAAGTTTTTAACACAACTTCTGTCTTTTTTCTTCTCAGCCAGTACGATCTCATGGTGAAGACCTACACTGAAGCAGGCGTGGATCCGCTCGATGTGAACTACTTTGAAGGACACGGCACGGGAACAAAGGCCGGAGACCCTCAAGAGGCACGAGCCATCATGGAGGCGTACTGTAAGGGTCGCAAGGGTGTTCTGCCCGTTGGTCTGCTAAAGAGTAACATCGGCCACGGCGAGGGAGCCTCCGGTGTGGCATCACTCTCCAAGCTGTGCATCGTCTATGAGAACAAGAAGATACCGGCCAATCTCAACATGACTGTCCTCAAGGCAGACATCGCAGAGATGGTGCCACCGCTGGAGCCAGTTACCGCAAACCGAAACTACGAACCAGGAATAGTCGGTAAGCTACAACAGCTAAAAAATTGTTTTTCCTATCTGTTTAACTTTGTAATTGCCAGGTGTAAACTCGTTCGGCATTGGTGGCGTCAATGCGCACGCACTGCTGAAACCGAACAAGAAGGAGATCACTGCAGAGAGCAGGCTGATTGCCGATCAAATTCCTCGACTGGTGAACATCAATGGCCGCACTGAGGAGGCGGTGAACCACATGTTTGAGTTTATGGAGAAGAACCCGGACCGAGTCACTCGCGAGTTCCTCGCACTGATTGGCGAAACGGTCAACTACGAGCCGAGCATCTACTCCTCTGGTTTTCCTTACCGCGGATCGGTGCTCATCAAGAAGGACTCCGATTCGGGCAAGCTGACGTACAGCAAGAAGGTCTCCAAGGTGGACAACAACAAACGACCAATCTGCTACTTCTTCTCTGGAATGGGCAGTCAGTGGTCAGCGATGGCAAAATCCTTGATGGGCATTGACCTCTTTGCCAATGCCATACAACTGTGTGCCGACCACCTGAGCAAGGTCAACATTGACCTGAAGTACATTCTGTTGTCAGAGGACCCAAAAGCTCTGGAGGAAAAGATCCACCACTTTGTGGCCATCACCTCAATGCAGATCGCCCTGGCCGACGTCTTCAAGGCACTGGGCATTGAGCCCGATTACATCATTGGCCACTCCTTCGGCGAGATTGCCTGCGCTTACGCGGACGGCTGCCTCACACTGGAGCAGGCCATCATTACCTCATACTGGCGAGGCAAGGCCATCAGCGATGCGAACATTGAGCACGGCATGATGGCCGCCGTGGGTCTCTCTTGGGAGGACACCGTCAAGCGCTGTCCAGAGGGCGTCTACGCCGCCTGCCACAACTCCGCCGACTCGGTGACCATTTCGGGCAGCTACGACAAGGTGAACGCCTGCGTCGACCAGCTGTCCGCCGACAAGATCTTTGCCCGAGAGGTGCAGTGCGCCAACATTCCCTTCCACTCGCCGCTGCTGCAGCCGGCGGCGCAACAAATGACCGAGGCGCTGCAGGGCGTCATTCCGCAGCCGAAGGCACGCAGCGCCAAGTGGATCTCCACCTCGGTGGCGCAGTCGGAGGCGAGTTCGGCCCGGGCGGCCACCGCCTCTCCGCAGTACTTCGTGAACAACCTCATCAATCCGGTGCTGTTCCACGACGCCAGCAAGCTCATCCCCAAGGAGGCGATCATCATCGAGCTGGCGCCCCACGCGCTCTTCTCTGCCATCTTCAAGCGCAGCATGCCGGCGGCCAGCTACGTTGGTCTGCTGAAACGCAACGGCAACGCCACCAATCTGGACATGTACCTGAACGCCCTCGGTCAGCTGTACCAGCTGGGCGTCAACCTCAACCTGGCACCGCTTTACCCGACCGTTCAGTGGCCAGTGCCCCGGAACACGCAGTCCATCGGTTCGCTGGTCCGCTGGGATCACAACAAAAGCTACCTGGTGAAGACCTATCCTGAGTATCACTGCCGAGCCACCGCTTCTGACTACGTGCAAAAGTTCTCCCTCGCCAACCCTGATGACCAGTTCTTGAAGGATCACGCCTTTGACGGGAAGTGCGTCCTCCCTGCCAGCGCCTACCTGCTCATGGTGTGGCGTCGTCTGGCCTCCTCTCGAGGCCTCCTCTGGTACCACTTTCCGGTAGTCTTTGAGAACGTCGAGTTCAAACGCCTGACGCCAATGTCGGAGAACGAAGTCAAGCTAAGCGTCCGCCTGCTCGATCCAACGGGTGAGTTTGTGGTGCTTGACGGCGGCAATGTGGCCGCCTCTGGTCGAGTTTATTGCCCTGAAGAGGACAAACTGCCGCTCAACTACCAGAACTTGATTGACAACTTTAGCATTGAAAGCGATGAATGGTAAGCCGTTGTTGACATAACAAACATCATTTTTATAACAGTTGTCTTTGTTTACGTTTTCAGGAAGGGACACAAGCTGAACATGAATGAGTTCTACACAGAGACCAATGTGCGCGGATTCGACTACGGACCTAACTTTAAGCAAATCCAAGAGGTGGAGTTTGACGGTTTTGACCGTTCTCGAGCTCAGGTGAAATGGGAGAACAACTGGGTCACTTTTGTTGAATCGATGATTCAGTTGTACGCTACACACACCACTGCACGGTCCATTCATGTCGCTCAGAGTTTGCCCAGTCTCAAGTGCGATCCACGAGTCCTCTGGGGAACGACGCCAGGTAAAGACGTTTCTAGGCACCTTTGTCTGTTTAGCAGTTCATTACCTAAATCTGCTTTTTACAGCCAACATTCCCGTCATTACCGATGCTGGACTGAAGTGCGTCGTCTCTCGAGGCATCGAGATGAAGGGCCTCAAGTTTGCCAACATTCCACTAAAGAACGTAATGCGAGACGTGAAAATGGAAAAGTACGAGTTTGTGCCGTTCACTGAGGCGGGCGCCATTGAGGACGTGGACGCCAGAGAACTTCAGTCGTACATCTACTCTTGCAATCTGGTGGCCGACCGACTGGCGGCACTGCTGCAGAAGGGCGACAGTGCAAAGGGTGCCTCCATTTCGGCCATCCTGCACCGACCGCACGCCGACAATGAGGTGCTGCTGAAGCTGCTCGCCGAGATGTACAAGTCAGTGGTCGATGAGAATGGCAATCCAACCGGGCAGAACATCAGCGGCGATCTGGTGCGCAAGATTGTGGCGGAGAACAAGCTGGACTTTAGCAAAGACTTGCTCAATTTGGTGACCAAGAACGGGCGGATGATGCGCTCATCACTAGGTATGATCTCTAGGTACCACAATCGGCTATCAACTAACAGTTACCTTCGTCTGTTTGTAGATGTGGTCAATGAGAACTGCCTGCGAAACATGAACGTCATTGAGGCAAACTACAGCACTGGCAGCATCGTAAAGGACCTTCTTCAGCACATGGGCTACTTCTTCCACTACCCACTCGTGGTGGATTGTGTGCTCGCCACAAAGGACACCAAAGCACTGCCCAAGGAAGTCCAGAACGCCGGCTACCAGCTGCTGGACTGGGACACCGTCTCCAGCTCTACACTGCCCACTATCGAGGCACCAGCCGACCTACTAGTATACAAGGACTCGCCTGAGCTGGCCAAGATGAACTTGAAGACCTTTGCCAAAGATCTGGCCAGCAACGTCAAAGAAGGTGGCTTTCTCTTTGCAGTCTTCCGATCAAAGCTGTGCAAGGCAGAGTCGTTGCTCAATCACATTACTGGTCAGTACTTTTCTAAAAAACTCATTATGAATCTTCTGACACATTTGCTAATACATCAGGATCATCTCAGTCGACGCCGTCACTGGTTCAGCGTATTGCCGACTTTGAGAGCAGCGCAGTGAATGCCGGCTTCAACTTGATCTCCAAAAAGACTGACTCCATCACTTCAACCTGTTTGCTGCTCAGAAAGGCTTTCGCCGAAATGGAGCCCACCAAACAGGCCATAGTTGAGGTGCAATTTGGCGAGTTCACCAACTGGGTGGACAAGCTGAAGAACGCTTTCACAGAGTACAAGAACAAACCCAAGAGTCAGAACGTGTGGATGGTCTCCGATGACAGCACTCTGAACGGCGCCCTCGGTCTGATGAACTGTCTGAAGCAAGAGCCCGGTGGCGATCGATTCCGGTGCATCTTTAGCGGCACCAAACTGCCCAGACCGATTGACTTCACAGTGTCGCCTTACAAGGAGATCCTTCAGAAGGACCTGCAGATGAATGTGCTTCGTGATCACCAGTGGGGCACCTACCGTCTGCTCAATTTGGAGCGCGATTACGACAAAACGGAGACAACTGAGGCGTACATTGACGTGGTGAAGAAAGGCGATCTCTCCAGTCTAAAGTGGTTCGAGCTGATGGCCCTGGGCAGCATCAAGCCTAATCAGGTTAATGTGACGATCAACTTTTCCGGTCTTGACTACAAGGACTTTTTGCTTGGAACGGGTAAGACAAAAATGGTGAAGAAAAAGAAACATTTTCTAACACATTTAATTCTTCTGTAGGCTCTCTCGGAACTGACTACGTCGATCGAGCAATTGGCACTGAGTTTGCTGGCCGACGTACTGACAATGGCAAACGAGTGATGGGCATTGCATGCAGCAAGGCGATTGCCACCTCCATCGACATCAACCCACAGGTTCTGGTGGAGATTCCCGACAATTGGAGCATGGAAGACGGAGCCGCCACGATAAACTCTCTCTTCCTTGCATGGTACAGTCTGGTGAACCGCGCTCAGATTGAAGAAGGTAATGAATGCTTCATCACTTTAACTCAATCTTTAACAAGTTTTTCATCTTTTCAGGTGAAACAATTCTCATCCACCCTGCGACCAGCGCCAACGGTCTGGTGGCAATTCAGATATGCCAAAAGATGGACTGCCGCATTCTGGCAACTGCCACTACTGAGGAGAAGCGGCAATTCCTCATCGAGCGATACGGCATTCCCGAGGAGAACATCTTCAATCCCAACGAGGCCAACTTTGTTGATGAAATTCTCACCCTGACTGGAGCCAATGGAGTGGATGTGGTCTTTGACTCCGCCTCCAGTGAAAAGTTATCCACCAGCTGTCCAATTGTCTCCAACTACGGACGGTACATTGAAGTAGACAGTCCTGATTCATCGCCCAATGCTGCCGCCATTCGCCGCAACACGCAGTACTTTAGCATTTCTTCACTCATCTCGGAAGACTCATTTGAAGTGATCATCCCTAAGCTGATCAAGAATTTTTCCGCCTGGTTCAAGGAAGCCAAAAGTAAGAGGTTTAGAAAGTCTAGCGACACAACGTTTTTAACATCTTTTCCCCCTTTTCAGAATACATCAAACCAGTGCCGCGAAATGTTTTCCGCCGAAGCTCCATTGATCAGGCGATTAATGCCTTGAACTCCAATAAGACTATTGGCAAGGTGATCGTCCAAATTCGCGATGAAGAGGCACAACAAGTGAAGATTCAAGCCATTTCAAAGTGCTGGTTTGACGCCAAAAAGTCCTACATCCTGGTGGGCGGTTTGGGCGGTCTCGGCCTGGAGGTGGCCTACTGGATGGTCACTCGAGGTGCAAAGAAACTGGTGTTGGTCTCTCGCAGTGGCGTCAAGAACGACTACCAGTACGTTTTTGTGAGGCGAGTGGCGAATGCGCTGAAGAACAGAGACGACGTCCAGGTGAAGATTTCCACTTCTGATCCGTCGTCAATGGCAGGCGCAGAGAAGCTGATCAACGAGTCGGCAGAACTGGGCCCAGTGGGCGGCATCTTCCACTTTGCCACCGTTCTGAGCGATGCCTTCATCGAGGACCAGACGGCGGCGGCCTTCAAGAAGGTCTGCGCCCCGAAGATGGACGCCCTGGGCTTCCTGGACACGGTGACGCGCAAGAGCTGTCCCCGACTGGACTACTTTGTCGCCTTCTCCTCGCAGAGCTCCGGTCGCGGCTTTGTGGGGCAGAACAACTACGGCTACGCCAACTCGGTGATGGAGCACATCTGCGAAGACCGCAAGCGCGACGGTCTGCCCGGCCAGGCCATTCAGTACGGACCGATCGGCGACGTGGGCCTGTGGGCGCAGAACGACCACATTGACCTGACCAGCATCGGCATGGTCATCGATACTCAGCGCATTCCCAGCTGCATGGAGGTGCTCGACCGCTTCCTCAACCTGCCGCACGCCATCGTCTCCACCATTGTCCGCCTGGAGGGGGCACAGCAGTCCGCGGGGGCGGCCAGCGCCAAGAACCACATCTGGCAGGGCATCGGCATTGACATGAGCTCGCTGCCGGACAACCTCACTCTGGGCGACGTCGGCATGGAGAGCATTCTCGCCGTGGAGATGCAGCAGCGAATTGACCGAGAGTATGGCGTCAACCTGTCTGCTGATGAGATCAAGCAGATCACTGTGGGGCAAATCAAGGAGTACCAAACGGGTAAGTGGTCAATTCAAAAGTGATTCCTCATTGATTGAGATTAACTCGTTTCCTTTCAACAGATAACAAGGCGACAATCAAGGAGAAGATAGCAGCATTCAAACAAAGCTTAAAAAAGTGATTACTGTCTGTTTGGAATTGTTTTTGTAGATTTTCAAGTATTACATTTAGAAAACCTATACTAATAAATTGTTATTCCTCGAAATGACCTTTTTAGGCCACTTTGTTGCAGGCAGAATCATGCAATTGATTCGTAAAGTTTTTATTTTTATATATTTTGTTCAATCAAAAAGTGACAGTTATCAACAATGTAATGAAGGTGGTGAGAATGAGTATGAGAGTGAAGTATCAAGAGAGAGAGAGAGAGAGAGAGAGAGAGAGAGAGAGAGAGAGAGAACGAGAAAGACAACAATAATGAGAATAAGAAGAATATCTAGTCGTTGAATAGTCTGGTAATTTAACGTCTTTTTTTGATGGGCGTAAACAGAATTGAAGTGGTGTGAGTGGGCGAGTAAGAAAATATTTTACATTTTACACTTTCAGAGTAATAAAAGAGAGACATGTGCGAGGCATGACAATATCATCGATTGGAGGATGCGGGCAATGTTAGATGCTGTCAACGAGTGCTGTGCTTAGCAATCACATCGATCCATCTCAGTGATTTTAGGCTAGAGTTCGTTATCTGTCTGTATGACTGTCAGTTGGTCTGTTTCATGGTCTGTACATGGCGGCCAGCGTCGGTTCTATTCAGTAGTAGTAGTACACCTAACACAGTATATGCTTTCAGAGAGTGTGTGTAGTGGATCACTGGAGTGAGAAATGGAGCGCTTCTTCCTGGCCGAACACAACTAGTAAACAGCAAGAATAATAGCACATTGTGGGGTAAACAAGTAATTTTTATCTGTACAAAGTATGAACATGAAATGTCTTTTGTTGTTTGTGAAATTGAATTGAAAAATCGAAGATGCCCACGAAGAGTATTTATCACGTGTGGGTCAAAGAAAGAAGTAACGAGTGAATGTGTGTGTGTAGCAAATGAAGCAGGAAATGATTAAAATTTTGTTTCTAAAAAGGCAAGTTATATTCGTGCTGAAATGGTAAAGTCGGACGAAATGTATTTGATAGAAATGATACCTGGCGGAAGGAACTGACTTGGAGGGGATCAGCCATCTTTAGAGTTGGCTAGGTGACAGATTGATTTGAATTTAAAACGGCTGAAGAGAATGATCACAAGCTGCTGAGACCTTTTGGGTCCAAAGTACTGCCGTGTTTCGTTTTGGGTTTCAGGTATTCGTCGTTTGAAAGAGAAATCACATCAATGCGATTCTCCTTTTTATACTGTAAACAGCGTCGAACAAAATGCTGAAAAGGACGGTAAAGTTAGCATAAGATGATTCCAATTAAAATAGAAAAAATACCTTAGCTTCTTGACTGATTGGTGGTTTGGAAGGAAAGTCAACTTCCGTTGCTTTTAAAATGGTATTCTCCTCCAGAATGGTAGCTTGTGATTGGTTGTGACCAAAAGGTTTTTTGCCATAAAGGCACTGGTAGAAAATCACGCCAACGCTCCATACCTAATTTTAAAGCAAGAGATTAAGTCGCATGCCAATAATGCACAAATGTTGGTTTACTCACATCAACTTTAGACGAAATTTTCGGTGGATTTTTTCCAACAACAAAGCACTCTGGCGGGAGATACCAGTACGTTCCGGCACCTTGACTTGTCAGATCCATTCCACTGTCTGCAGAGTAGTTGTCTTCATCCATTATTTTGGAAAGGCCGAAATCGGTAATTTTTATTTCCCCAGAGGTTGTTCCCGAGCTGAGAAGGATGTTACCTGAAAGTTTTTTCAAGTTAGCAAGCAGTTAGTATAAAAATCGAGAGTTAAATTAGAAAAGAAGAACATACCAGGCTTAAGATCATAGTGAATGATGGGCGGCTTGATCTCATTCAAATACTTGAGTGCATGCGCCACTTGCATGATGATGGAGCGAGCTTCACGCTCCGGAATGCTTTTGTGTTGCTTCAAGTAAAAGTCCAAGTCGTGGCCATCACAGTACTCGAGTACAGTGCAGAAAGAGTTGGCATCAATCTCAAAGACGTCATACAGGCGAACGACTCTCGGGTGGTCCAGCTGCTTGTGAATGTTGTACTCGCGCAGAGCGTGTTTAATGTAGTTGGCCTTCTTGTCGTCCTTCCAGTCCTTGTTCAACTGGTGAATCTTACATGCGACATAGCGCTGATCTTTGAGATCAAATGCTTTGTGCACTTCGGAGAAACCACCTAAGCAGAAAACAGAGGGTAATTGTTAGTTTCGGGTTAAAATGTGAGCATTTTGTTAAACTTGCCTTTTCCAAGTAACATCAAGAGCAGGTACCGCTCATTCAGAGTCACATGGTTGTTAAAGCGAGACTGGTCTTCATTGTGAATGCGCTTCAACTCGCGAATGTGCAAGTTGCGTTCACGCTCCAACTTTTCAAGCTCAAGTTGCAAGTCGGCGTCCTCCTTCTTAAGGGCCTGAGATCGTAGCTTGAGAATCTCATCTTGCTCGTAATATTCGTGCCAGTTCATCTCCTTTGGCGACTCAGGCTTGACAAACTCTCCATTTGAGTCGCCATTGGGGAAGGACGGCTTGGTTTTGCTCACCGCCAGAGAAGGTCTCTTCTTGATTAGCATCTTGCGCTGTCGTTCAATCTCTTCGCGGGCAGTTGATATTTGCTCTTGCTTTTTAATTAGCTCGGTAAAGGCCGATCCGTCCACCCAATTTTCCGCAAATACGGCACCTAAAAGATGCAAAAAGGAAATCAATAAGAACACCCAAACAATTGTTCTACTTAACTAATACCTTGACGTTGAGTGACAAACTGTCCCAGCCGGAGTCGATTTTGCATACATTTTTGTCGGGCAGCCTTCTTCTCCATCAAACTCTTCTCGATTAGCAATTGTTTGGTCACGTCAATGCATTTATTAAGGCGATCGCTTTGTTTGTCGTTCTCATCCCTGTACGCCTTCAGCTGGCGTCGCAGCTCTTCCATTGATCGTGTTATTTCGTCAATCTTTGAATCACGAGATTCGAGTTCAGCCGCATAATGCTCGTCCTGATTGCTCAGTTTGTTCATTGTTAGGTCAGTCTGAGTGCTGATGGATGCAGTACTCTTACTGGAAGAGTAGCTGTTACTGGTAGTGGCGATCGAGTTCATGGTGTGCTGCAGTGTGGAAGACCTGCTCTGAGGGGTGGCAAATGAATTCGACAGTTGATGGTGGTGAAGCAGGGAGGCAGCACCGTGGTCAGGGGCAGTGGAGGCGGATGCCGTCGTGGTACTGGAAGGAAGTGACGCCGCCGATGAGACTGCCTGCTGCTGCTGGTACATGTAATATGGGAGTGAACTGGACGTCGGCGACTTGGCGCCAGCTGCATTGTATCGACTAGGACTCGAGTTCTAAAAGTGTTGGGAAAAAGAGTACCAAATAAGTTAGCAAATGTAGGCGGTATAACGAGGCTGTGTCTAGTATAGTTTACCTTAAAGTAATCAGTCACTTTTTTCTCCCCTCGCTTCGAGCCAACTGAATTGGCTCGCTCTTGAGAAGGAGGAGGTGGCTCATCCTTTTTCCGTCGTTTTCGCTGTGAGCCAGTGGAAGCACTGTTTGCAAGGGCACCATTCGCTCCTGTAGGCGTAGTCGGATCAGCTTGCGACAGCGCCCGTTTCTCCGGCGTATGAGCATGAAGAGTATCNGAAGCACTGTTTGCAAGGGCACCATTGGCTCCTGTAGGCGTAGTCGGATCAGCTTGCGACAGCGCCCGTTTCTCCGGCGTATGAGCATGAAGAGTATCACAATGAACTGGAGGCTCCTGCTTGTCTGAACAGTGACTGCCCGCCGAGGTGGTCGACAGATTTGAGTCCTGATTATGTGAAGAGGAATGAGCTGAGTAGTGACAAGAAGACTGCGTCGAGCCGGCGGAATTGTTGTTGGTGTTTGGGAGATTGTTCAGGCTATTGTTGTTGGAGGCACTCGCAAAGGAGGAGGAGCCTGGAGGAGTCGGGACAGAGTTGGTGGTCTGCATCATCGCCCCCTGCAAGCTGGTAGAGCCTTGGTTTTGGACGGGCTGCAGTGGCTGTGGCGATTGCTGAGGCTGCTGCAAGGACGACGACGACTGCGGTGGTGCTTGCTGCTGGCTTAGCATGGACGAAAACGGTGAGCCGTTCGGTGGAATGCTAGGACTCGAGGAAGAGGGGTTCGAGCTCGTTGAGGATGAGGACTGCAGCTGATGCTGAACCATCGATTGAGGTGAGTGCGAGTGATGTGGATGAGGTGGGAGTGTTGGGTGAGGCGTGAGGGAGTGATGCAGGTAGTGCTGCTGTGAAGTCTGCGTTTGGTTGTTGAATCCAGCAGCCGCCATCCGCTGATTAGATCCCATGAACCGCGCCTCGAGTAGCTCCTGCTTTCTGGGGTCTAAAATCGAGGGATGTGTACCCGGCGCCGAGTTTGATGACGTTGGCGGAGCCGGTGGCTGTTGGAGGTTGTCCATTGCTGCGAACATCACCGGAGACAACATTAATAGGCCGTTGTTTTCTTGCGGGCGTGTTAGCTGGCGGCTCTTGAAGTTGAGTCGCTCAGCTCACAAGTCCACTGCAAAGGAAGGTAAAAGAGAGAGAG